TAGTAGTAGTAGTATATATATATATATATATATATATATATATATATATATATATATATATATATATATATATATATATATATATATATATATATATATATATCGTGTCAACAAAATTTTTAACCTCATACACTATCTTATATTATTAAACTCTTGAACTAAACCCTTTATCCGCAATCATTGACAACTACTCGCACTCCTCCATTGGTCGTACAGTCTGTGACAAACCGTACCATTCTATTCCAACGGCAGTCATACGAGTGAGTGCTGAGGATAGTTTGTACTGTGAAATCGCCCGTATTTATGTATCAATTGCCCGTATTTATGTATTAATTGCCCATTAACAGCGCATTAAGTGCCCATTAATTTTGTATTAGTTGTCTATACTGACCCTCCACTGAACACCCCTACTGTACAGGAACTGGAGCACCTGGTGCCCATGGATCATGAGAACGTCGTGCCTTATTTGGGCATGACGCAGTCAGTGCAGGTATATCCATAGGGTTCTAGGGTTAAAGTTTGTAGGGTTCTAGAGTTAGGGTTTGTAGGGTTTAGGGTTTAAGGTCATACCAGTATTGCACCATTGTGCGGGAAGGATGCGCGCGTGTGTGTGTATGCTGTGTTTAGATGTGTGTTTTTACGTTGAGGTGTGTGTGTGTGTTTGTGTGCTGTGTTTACATGTGGGTGTTTATGTTAAGGAATGTGTGTATGTGTTTGGTGAGTAATGCATGCGTTTGTACCAGTGCTGCTTATTACAATATGATGTGCATCCCAACTCTCGAACACAGCGGGCATACAAACGTGCACTACATGCATGTGGGCTTCAGTTTCACTACTGAACGCACTACTAAAAGGTATATACGACAAATGTATTATTACTTGTACATAACAAATATACTACTCACATGTGTATACAACAAATATACTACTCACATGTGTATACAACAAATATACTACTCACATGTGTATATAAATATTAAAAAAAAACTATTTACGTGTAGATGGTAAATATTCTACTTAAATGTATATGGTAAATATTCGACCTACATGTGTATATAAGGCCACTAGATCTGTTCGTGCTTGAGCATGCTGTTGTCTCATATCCCATTTCAGGATGACATCCGCACAATGCATACGTGCTGCGTGCACATTGGTATATTCTTTTTACTTTGATCTAAGAGTGTGTGTAGGTGTATTCTTTTAACTTTGATCTAAGAGTGTGTAAGTATATTCTTTTAACTTTGATTTAAGAGTGTGTAGGTATATTCTTTTAACTTTGATCTAAGAGTGTGTGTTGGTATATTCTTTTAACTTTGATCTAAGAGTGTGTGTAGGTATATTCTTTTAACTTGATCTAAGAGTGTGTGTAGGTATATTCTTTTAACTTTGATCTAAGAGTGTGTGTAGGTATATTCTTTTAACTTTGAACCAATGGTATTTCTGCATTTCAGGGTGATTCAATCACTGTACAATTGGCTTCGGAGTATGTGGGAGCCACGACACTGGAGAATTTGCTACAACAGGTGTGATTCAAGCGTGTCCTAAACCCTACTACACAGCCACCTACTATATTCCGAGTGCTACTCGCAGTCGCTCTCGTTTGTATCTCGTTTCGTTTATTCCATGTCGTTTACTGCATGTTGTGTATTGCATGTTGTTTATTCCATGTCATTTATCCCATGTCGTTTATTCCAAGTCGTTTACTGCATGTCGTTTCTTCCATGACGTTTACTGCATGCCGTTTATCCCATGTCGTTTATTCCATGTCGCTGATCCTCCTACTCCCGCCTTCACTCGCATCTCAGGTGGGGCGATTAGACATCAACGGAGTGCGCCAGTACACGCGGCAGTTGACGGCTGGCCTGGCCTATCTGCACCAGCACCACGTGGTCCACGGGTTTGTGAGTCCCTCCAGCATCTTCCTCACATCCGACGGCCACGCCCGTATCATCCAGGTATATCTATTTATAGGTCTGGTAGGTATATCTATTTATAGATCTGAGTGGCAGCTGTCACATATGTTCGCCTGTATTCTGTTTAAAGATCTGATGTGCCTCAATACGCTACATATATTAAGTACACTAAATGCACTACATACACACTTACAAACTTACACACGCACTGATGTAAGTACATTAAATGCACTACATACACACTTACACACTTACACACGCACTGTTGTAAGTACACTAAATGCACTACATATATACTTACACAATTACACACGCACTGATGTAAGTATACTACATACACACTTACACACTTACACACGCACTGATGTAAGTACACTACATACACACTTACACACTTACACACGCACAGATGTAAGTACACTACATACACACTTGCACACTTACACACGCACTGATGTATGTACACTATAAATGCATTACATACACATTTACACACTTACACACGCACTGATGACACACATTGCAGGGAGAGCCGCTGCATCGCATCCACGAGTTCATTTCTACCAACGACGTGACAGTGGAGAGCGACGACGCCCACACACCAGGGACCAACACACACGCAAACGCAAACAACACCCACACACCCACACACATGGGCGGTGCAGAAGGCACCACCCCACGCAGGTAATGCCTTAAAACCCTAAACCCTAAACCCTAAACCAACCCTAAACCCCAAGCTTTAGCCTCGTAGTTGCTGTTACTTTTTCTTTTGTGCTTGGTTGGCTGGTTGTTTGGCGTGTGAGTGGTTGTGAGGGGATGTGGTAGTGGTGTGTATGTACAGTGTATGTATGTATATAGTTGTGTATCGTATGTGTAGGTGCTGTTTCTATTATGTTGATTGGTTGTTTGGCGTGTGAGTGGTTGTGAGGGGGTGTGGCAGTGGTGTGTATGTACAGTGTATGTATGTATATAGTTGTGTGTCGTGTGTGTAGGTGCTGTTCCTATTTGGTTGGTTGGTTGGTTGTTTGGCGTGTGAGTGGTTGTGAGGGAATGTGGTAGTGGTGTGTATGTACAGTGTATGTATGTATATAGTTGTATGTCGTATGTGTAGGTGCTGTTTATATTTGATTGGTTGGTTGTTTGGCGTGTGAATGGTTGTGCGGAGGGTGTGGTAGTGGTGTGTATGTGCAATGTATGTATGTATATAGTTGTGTGTCGTGTGTGCAGGTGCTGTTTCTATTTGGTTGGTTGATTGTTTGGCGTGTGAGTGGTTGTGCAGAGGGTGTGGTAGTGGTGTGTACGTACTGTACAGTGTACCTATATATATAGTTGTATGTCGTGTGTGTAGCTGTGTGTACCTTATACCATATACCTTTGCGTAGTATGGTTTGTGTAGGTAGGTTTGTCCCTCCCCTGACCACCCATGCCTTCTACATTCGGTTGTTTGTCACAGCAGGTATTGGCCTCCGCCAGAGTGCATGAAAGGCAAAAAGTACGATCGCCGTAGCGATATCTGGAACTTGGGCTGTGTAGTACTAGAGCTGCTGCTCGGTGAAGTGGACACCAAACTTTCGGTGCAAGCGGCCCTAAAAAGTGTGAGCGAGGGCGACCTGCGCGACTTTTTGGGCCGGTGCCTGGACTCACGGGTCAAAGACCGGCACACGAGCGTGAATCTGCTGAAGCACAGGTTTCTGCGGCATAAGAGCGATGCCTTTCAGCCGGGTGGGGACAGCGGCAACAAACCACGTGCACAGCCCACGGGTGAGTGCGCAGAGGCATTGCGTGTGTGTGAGAGAGTGTGTATGTATGTGTGTAGGTGTGAGTGTTTGTGGGTAGTTGTGTGTGTGTGTGTGTGTGTGTGTGTGTGTGTGTGTGTGTGTGTGTGTGTGTGTTGGTGGTGTGTGTGTAGGTGTA